CCTGATACGCAGCATTGGAGATCGTCACGTACCGATCGGTGAAACATGTGCGATAAAAGTGGACGGCACATCCACAATAAGGAGCAGTGGCTTGATCGCTGAGCAGAGTACTTAAAGAAACATCTTGCCTGTTTGCCGAGCTTGGCAATTTGATTGCCAACTTTTCATCACCAGCCGAAGTGACATCATCGGTGTTTGAGGATGCGGTGATGCTACAAAACTGGCTGTCGTCTACTCCGATTCCAATGCTTGATGGTCAAGAATTAACCATAGTGGATTGCTTTTTCTGCCTAGGTACTTGCGTAACAAATGACGGTAGCGTAGTGCAAAGTAACCGTCTTCAGTTTCAGTGCGCGAGCAGCGTGAGCAGGACTGAAACCCTATTGGCGCCGACGTTATGTTTCCTTGAAAGTGCAAGGTCACTGTTCGGTTTGTTCAGCTTTAAGATTACGGGATCACAAATTTGATCGCGGAAGACATCGACTGAGTAAACATTTTCGACTATCCATACTTACATAGTTTGACGCACATGGATTGGTATGAGTGTGTAAGCAACAATGAGTTGAACTAGCAAGTATTTGGTAATCATTTGATGGAGAACGCGTTATCGCGTCGAGTTTGGATTATCAGGCTTCGATGGGTAGGACACTCATTACGCATGCTAAACTGTCCTCTGCCGAACGGCTCATCATCGGATACTGTTGCTCCAGATTGGAGGAAACCCCGTGCAGATCGTCACATGATGTAGAGACGAGGCAAGGAGAAATGCACAAAATGATTCTGTAGAGTAGGGTCTCCCGTGTTCCAGATTTGGCTCGAAAAGACCATGCAACTGGTTGGTTGGAGATACTGAAGAATATCGCGGAAAACCGACAGCAGTGATGTGCTTGTTATCAAACCAGGCTGCTTGAAAAGTTGTGTATCCACAACTGTTCATTTTCTTTTCCCCACCCTCAAAATAAAAAAATAGTCCCTGATTGTTTTAAAACATGAATTGACAGGTGTCGCATTTAAGGCTTAAAAGGACATCAGTGCGATTGAAATCGTTCAGGTTACGTTGTTTGACGGGCTGAAGGCTTGTGTTTAAGTTATGAAAGGTTCAGTTGCTTAGGCGGGATTCGACCCACGCATGGACTCCGCCTACGTTTTACTAGCTAAGCTACGGGGCCACACCAACAGCACTGATGGGCGATCTAAATGTGAAAAGATGAGTTATATCTTCGTGCCGTCGTACCCCAGATGCTACAGTGTGCGCTTTAAGAAAGCGTAGGCGACGTCCGTCTTTTGAGGTCATTTAGGGCGAGGGAGAACCATGTGGGCCAACTAGAAATGTCTACAAAACCGGATGAAAAACCAGCGAAACAAATCGCATTATGGTAAGGATTCCTAACCGTAAGACAGGAATGTCCAATGAAACCGCGGGGTATTTGTAGATCATTAGTATATGAAGAGAAAAAGGAAGACGATAGACTGGTACTTTGCCGTGGTATCTGGAAGTGGAAAAGAAGTGCTTAGAACCGCAGGAAGTAAATTTGTATTTGTATTTGTGTAACTTGTGTAAGCATATGTGCTTACATTTCAGTACACTGTTCGTGCCGCGAAATGAGATAATATCAATAATAATAATAAAATATAACATGGAAGGTAAAGAATATCACTGGTATTTGTTTCATGTACAAAACTTTTGACGTTGTAGTAGTCGTAGTAATTGTAGTACGCACTGATCACGAATTATAAATCATGGACTGGCAATCACGGACGCAACGTAAGCACTGGAGCCCACTGATACTTGCACCCAGTATTCCACATAGCCGAGACGCGAGGAAAAGGCCACAGGAATAGCAGTTCGTTTATAGAAAGAAATCGGGGGGACTAAATAATATGTACAAAACAAGTTTATTGGTCATCCAAGCCTCTGGAAATCGCTTGCTAGTATTTCTGGCGTCGTACAGCTTCTGTCTGGGCCGCGCGGCTTCTGATTGGATGGTACAATCGGCCTATGGTTTGTAACGCATACATGCATTGCTGCCATCACCTGGGAAGCTCGGTTCATTATAGCTGTCTGAAAGCTGTAACGTGTCGCTCCGCGGTATACGTCATCTCGTAGGTCGGAGTCGGGCCAGGTAGGGTACAGGGGAATTTTATAGGTGTTAATACGAGAGGGTAGATGCCGAAATGAAGAGCGTGTGGAGGGATGAGAAGGGCCAGACGATAAATCAGAATGCAGTGAATGAAGAGGGTTATCTAGAATCTGGGTAAATTTAACACAACAGTTGGTGTGGTCATCAGTGAGTTCTGTGATTAATGAATCGATCGGAATTAGTGATGCATGACTGATGACTGCCCTGAGGCTTACACGAAATGTTTAACGAATCGGAGGGTGCACGAGATGACAACGAAGTATTTATTGACCCGAAAGCACCCAGGTGATCAAAAAAGCTAGCCTTTTAGGTTAGCTCAAAGGCCAAACTCGGGAAAAAATACGTCACATACCAAGTACTGGCCTTTGGGCGAGATCTAATGGGACTTAGTAGGACTTAGTTTAATCTTAACTGATTTTCAGCACTCTTCTAACAGATGAGCAGAAATTGAGTGTATGGGTCACAGGTTCTACAAGCTCTTTAGCTTACTCTTTTAGTAGTTGGGGAGAATCGAATCACTTTACTTTGCGACACTTTAAAAGAGCCATGACATCGACTGGATTGATGGAATTGAGGTCTCCTGGATCAGTAACCGAAACGATGACTGATTGTCAACTTTCAGGTAACGCCGTTATTGAGTATCAAGTATTGGTAAGTAATATCTTGCATAGGGTATCTTTTTTCGGTACACTCCAAGCCAAACTTGTTTATGATACAGAAATTCGTATGCATCAATTTTGGGTTGTGCATCTACTAATGGGCCTGTTGATGATCATATGCTCGCATTTGTTTTGTGATTTATACATCTACCCGTCTATCCTAAATAAGATTTAGTATTTGTGATCAATCAGAGTGACGCATGGTTCATATTAAGATGTGTTGAACTAATTCAAGACGAACTGATCTTGCTATAGGATCCTCGGCCGGTGCTCTAAGTCATGGTTCATTTATCTGCAGTCCGGATCCAGAGGAGGTAGAAGATGGCGCTCTTACCGTCCCCGTGGGTAAACTGATATCCGACTCCGGAAATTTATACTCTCTCCGATCCGAATCTTCATTGGTTCCGATGATGATGGATGATGGCCTTGATGAACTGGAAAGTGACGAGGAACCATTGCCACATGATCGCGTTGCTTTAGAGTTACCAAAGGAGAATAAACCTAGTGCAATGCGACCTCAGACCCCAATAGAAGACACGTTGAATGAGGAGGCGATTGTGAATCAGTGTGAATCGGAAACAAATCTTGTAAATAGTCGAAAATCCAGTATGGATGAGATTGATCAAGTTTGTCTGTCTACGAGTCAAACCATGCTCCGGTTGCGCCGTCATGCGGATCGTGTGCTTGAGGCCACTGAGGCGGCAGAGAAACGTCTACGGGAGCGCCTAAACTGGCTTTCAGATAAGGTTTCTGGCCAGACCAACGAGTATTCGAAAGCTGAACGTGAGAAACATTCTACCGAGGTTGCCCCGGAACCCCGCACAAGGTCTACATGCAAACACAATGATAGCAGTTTGCTACCGTGTAATCCACCGCATGATTCTACCAATATGCAAGTAAGCTACAAGTCTGTCTATCACATTATTACAGGTTTCTAGGAAGGTTTGGTATGGTATCAGTAATTATGTGGTCTGAACGTTTTAGATTTTTTTTCAACGGTGGGTGGCGGATATTTTAATACCATCTCCTCAATTCACAATGGACAAGAAGCCCAGTGGCAGTTTAGTTCGCCCCAGTTTGTACAACCGGCAATCTTTCGCATTCTAACTCCCGATTTTTGTGCTGGTCAAACACCAAAAAAGTAAAGTGAAAAGAAAAACTGTTAACAGAACTGAAATTAGAGTTTTAGGATATTGATACCTTTACCATTCCTCATTTTATGCCTTGCGTAATCTTATTCGCTCGGAATTTTGTTTATTCTTTTAACCATTTTGTTTATTCTCTAATCAGACTGGTTTCTAAATGATTCGAAGGTGGACTGAAGTGTGTGATGGTATGGATAATGCACACATGAAATTGAAGTAGTTAGACAATGAAACATACTCCTTTAATACTGGATTTTGGCCTTGTTGTTATGCAGCATCAGGAGTTACAATGTAACTCTAATAATGGTTATTTCTAATCTAATGTTACCTAGGATTGTCCAGTGCATGAGTAGTTTGGGTTGTCATGTTTTACCACTTGTGCCTTTAATTAAAAAGCCCAGTGTCCGGTCCCCGATCCCAAAGGATGAAGCCGTATTGGAGGGGTTGCCCAATTCACCTTCATGGACGTCTGGTTCTGAGGAACCCATGCTGAGTATTCCCAAGTCTCGTTCTGTACCGCCCGATTTACCCCCACTCATGTTTGGGGTGTCCAGTGGAGATGAGGAGAACCAGTCTACCAGTTCGAATCGGGAAAACTCTAAGAGAAGGACTCCGGTGGCCGCTATTGGTCAGTGTTTTTGTGGTAAATTTCATTATGTTTAACTTCATCAACATCTTGACAAACTCCCTTGGTTATGAAAATGAATTTTTTACTGAAACGGTAATAATAAAACTAAGTGATTTATTCTTACGAAAACCGTAATTCTTCACTACCTGCTTCCTTGATCGATTAAATTATTGAAAATAGTTTTTCCGTCGCTGATAGTAATACAATGGCCGTTCTGATACAACTAATGTGGAAAAACCGAAGACTTGTTTATATCCCATCTTTCGATCGACGACTTGGATAGACGCATGTTTGCCACAGCTACTCATCGAACCCAGATGAGCATGGCAGATACAGTTGTGCACCAATCGTAACGTTTACTAACGCTTCCTAAGGAATGCATTAAGCGATTCGCAGCATTCTTGCACGCTGCCACACACTATTCCGTCCATCAAGTGTCTGCCTTGCACGCGATTGGTTTTTACGTATCAACCAATTAGGTTGAAGGTCATCAACCACGCGAGTTTGCGGTAGAAATCGATTGACGCACCTAGCCACCGCGACGAACGCGTGTTCGGCACGGTTGCCGTCACGCTGACTGCACCATTCTAGTTGGAATTATTTTCCTTTCCCTGAATGTTTCAGGTGTTACTCATCGAACTGCATCTCCACCGTTCACGGAGCCCACAATACTTTCTGCAATGACTACTGTGACACCACTTGCCCATACACCTGGCCGTATCCGTGGTAGTATTGGTGAGCCAGAATGGGACAGCAAGCGAAGCAGTTTGGTCGAAGATCCCCAAGGTGAGTTCTGTCACGGAAAGAAAGCTCTTTAAGTTTCGCTGAAATGTGAAAAACCGGATACCACAGAACATTCTCGTTCTACGTTCTGCGGTATTATTTTCGGTTAGTCTCGTGGTCGTAGAAGGTGATACCAGGTAGTCCGCATAGGTCACTGACTTATGGTTGCTCAAGAGAATTTTAATTGATTCATTCTCATTTATATTCTCTATCCGTGTAACACTTTCTTAAGGTGAGCGTATTTGATTTCACACACCGATGCCTCAGTAGTTGTCTTGTGATTTAAAAAAGCATCTTAGTGGGTGTATCTAGACACGTATTTGCTCCACGATTCTTGATAGGTAAGACTAGATAAATGGACAGCCAATATTTTCACTTCCTTTTATTTATGGATACACAGTCATGCAGTCCGTCCTCAGGAAGGAGGCTGCGGCCAGTTTTAGTCTTCATGAAGAAAAACAAAGCGAATGGCGGTTGCGGGATTCAATCTTAAGACCTGCGGGCCGCTGGATCGGTGACCTTGACTGCCTGGCCTCAACCGTCTGTTTTTTTGACAGTTCGGCGAAGTTTTCACTGTAGATTATGTCCTGTCCAGAGGAGTTTTCGTTTCATGTCTGTCACAGTTTGATTTACTCTATTTTTTGCGTTGTTTCGTATCTGTTTTTTTCTACCAGGGTGATTGAGAAACTGCCATGGAAACCGTAAAATCTTCGCACCATGCAGCTTTTTATTTTATTGAACGGTCATGGTGACCAAGAGGCTTAAGACACTGTAGCTAATCGGTCAGTAGTCCGCATGATTCGATCGAACTACCGCCATTGGTATCTCTCTGTCTGGCTTGAATTGGCCTTGTTTTCAATAAGTTGCGTCGAGATAGAAAACAGTTACCTTTATACTTATGGCTATAGTTGTCAACTTCCGTAAAACCGTAAAACAATTATCTTCATTCATCATTAAGGGTATCTTTATTATCAAAAATATAATTTTATTGAACTACTATTGTCTTTCAGATATTCTTGCCGAAGAAGAGTCTTATACTTCGGACACAAATGACAGCCCTCGTGGTGTATCGGATGTTTGTCTCAGACAAGTGAGTTTTCTCATATTTACATTCATTTAAGTAATAATGATTATTAGTCACCGCCTGTGTTTGGATGCTTTTCGTGATCTAACGTTTGAGTAAACTTTGAAAGTATTATATACACATATGTATTCGAGTCACCAATTCAACGATAGATCTGTTGTATTGGCTTGCTATAATAGACTCATGTACACCGNAAACGCTGCCCTTTAGTTACCAGGATCATCAAAAATTAATAAAGATGTTTGTGTAAAGTCATTTGCTTATTCGGCCACCTGACCGTTCACTGAAAGCATCTATTTGTCGTGATATTTTTAACACTGTGTGAATTAGTAGTCATGGCTCAACCTTACTACATTGGTTATGCGGCATTATATATCTCAGACGTACTGGTAGTTCCGTAACAAGACAGTTCTCGGGCTGAAGCTAACGTGAATTACCGCTGATAATTTGTACATTTTTCAGCCCTGGCTTATCGGAAAAACGTTGCTTACTGATTGATCAACCTCTGTCCGAATATACCATCATAACACATTGCAAGAAAAACAGTAGCGAAAAAGCTCGTTTGCGGTGATTCTTCCACAAGCCAATACATGACAGCCTTTGGCAAATTTGGCAGTGAAGCTCCTTGACTGAGATGTGGGTGCAGTTGACAATATTCTTGTATTTGACCATATCAAGGGTGGATGACCTCGAGAATAACTGCGCTATCACACATACTAGTTAGATGCTCACTGTTATATTTTTTATTGAAATTTTCGACATCGTTACACATTTTTGAGAATGTGCTTTTATTTTCAGCTTTGTCATGTCTTTCTCCTACTGTTCATCCGAATGGGTGCCGAACACAAGTGACGTCCGGTTAAGAAAAGCCTTATGCATTACGGAGGGTAGATTTTCAACATAGGTCACGAAATATAATGAATAGCGAAGACAATACGCTAAAAGAATAGCAGACCATTGACAGAGCTAGCGCGGAAGGCCGAAGTTCAGCCACAATCAGTATGTGGTTAACTAAAATGCTACTATAGTGCTGGCGGTGATAATTTCAAATCGGGAGCGAGTACGGGATTTAGAATCGGCTTTAAGGGTTTCATTGAGCAAGCAGTATTCGACAGTAAATAACGAATTTTTGCCAAAGTAGTCATACGCATCGGCTTGTGGACAAACACTGAAATTAAGATGATACTGACTAGGGGTACTGTTTAAGACCATTTAAGACTTAGCAGCCAAAGCGAGGTCTTTATCTTTCAAACTGGGAAAATGATAGGGGACCAATGCAGGCAATAATGCAAAATGAAAATTTTAAGCATTAATAGACATCCGTTGGAAATGTTTGTGATAACCGACAAAGAGCAGTGGACAACTGTTTCGTCCTGTTTGGCACTCGTCAGTATGGTTTGAAGCCCCGACCTGAAAGTTTGCGGTTCGAATCCTGGCAGAGAAACAAAAAGTACGCACCGCTGACGAGTCCCAAACAGGACGAAACAGCTGTCCAGTGCTCTTTGTCGGTTATCACAAATATTATATCGCATGTAAATGCATGAACTTGTGGCGCATTATCGATCTCCCAAGGAGTGCAACCCACACCCAAGACCACGATGCTTATGAGCAATCGAATGGTCTAATCCAAGTTTGCTATTCTAAAATTAAGAGGCATCGTTTTTCAAATCACGAAGTGTAAAAACGTAACTTGCGAGTTTTTAAAGGTGTTTTAAATGTGTAGAAAAAACAATACCAAAGTATTCCAAGTATGTGGCTTTAAGGATCTTTTATCAACAAGAAGGAAGAACAAAACGTTTTGTAAAACCGAAAACCAGATTCAAAGTTGACAGGAATTTCAACATACTTCAAGATGTATAACTATAAGGAGCGCATTGTAGCTTCGTTCGAGAAGTCCGTTAGTAAAATATTCCTGGGTAGACCTGACTGAAGGTTCAGTGAATGGATATCCAATAAAGATGCCCTCTGCATACCTGCAACCCCTAGGACCATAATGAGTAGGAAGATGCTTTGTGTGCAGAGAATAAGGAAGAAGGTAGGATTGCTTTCTCAGGCATAGCCGAATTTACCAAAAAAGCCGAAGAACATTTGGCACCGTAAGGGATAAACTGTGCTCGGTTTGTGAAGTATTCAAATAAGAAGTTCAAGGTATCTGACTGAACACCACATCTGTAAAGGAGCCGAAGTAGTCAGCACAAAACGGAAAGCTTTTTCCAAATAAAGAAAGACAAGTTTCACAATCTGGAGGCCATTTTTATTACATTTGTGACTTACAGGGAAAGGGAAATCTCAGTATTGAGGCATACCGTAAAAGGGAGAGTAGGGAAA